ACGCGACTACGAATTAACGCGAAAAACGAGTTTGAGAAAAATCTTTACAAATTGATGAATAATGCCGTGTTCGGTAAGACTATGGAGAATGTGCGTAATCACTCGGATGTCCGGCTCGTGACTCGATAGGACGGGTGATACGGCGCGGAGGCGATGATCGCGAAGCCGAACTTTCATAGCAGAAGCGTCTTCGCGGAGAATCTCGTAGCCGTGGAATTGCGCAAACTCGAGATTAAGTTCAACAAACCGGTTTACGTGGGTATGTGTATTCTCGATGTGTTTAAGATTCGTTTGTACGAATTTCTCTACGAGTATATGCTACCGTTGTATCGAGATAAATGTGAAATAATGTACATCGATACGGATAGCCTCATTTATCGCATCGAGTGCGAGGATGTGTACGAGGATATGAAGCGTGATATCGACAGATTCGATACGAGCGATTACGCGGTGGACAACGCGTATGGTATGCCTCTTGCTAATAAGAAAATACCTGGTGCGATGAAGGACGAGAACTCCGGCGCGATTATGACGGAATTCGTCGGTCTCAGAGCGAAGATGTACGCGCTACTAGTCGACAGTAGAAACGATACGAAAAGAATTAAGGGTGTTAAGAGCGGCGTCGTCGCGAGAACGATAACGTTCGAAGATTACGCGCGCTGTCTTCGACGAAGAATCGAGATGAGGCACGAACAGTCTTGCATAAGATCCAAGTTACACGAGGTGTATACGGTGTCGGAATTGAAGGTTGCGCTCAGCCCACATGACGATAAACGATACGTGATCTGGAGGAGGAGCAGAGCGCTCTGCGCATTACATGTACACGGTTTACGCTTGTGTGTGTATCCCCACCATTACGGAGTCGTGTTGCTCGCGTCTCAATTCTGGCATCACTGCCAACGAGTTGGTTGATCGCTTGCGATTGCTGGAAGCTTCGCGTCAAGCCGGCAACAATGCCCACGACAATGAAATATTATCAATTATCGAGGAACTTTACGAAGCTGGACTTATTATAAATTAATCTATGCGTCGGCGAAACGAGTCAGTCTGTCATTATTGTTTGTATCGAAATGTCGATTAATAAATTTGGATTATCGTTGGGAACACCGAACAACTCATACTATCAATGGAATGGATTACTATACTCCGAGAGCGCGATAGAAGAGAATAACGAGCGCATGTCTCGCGAAAATCGCGAGAATATTTATAAACGAACGCGAGGATCGAACTCGCGAGATCGCGCGTTTTTTCGCGAGTGCTTTGTAATTTTGCGAGACGCGCGTTCGCCATTCTATTTACGAGGCTCTCGGAGACGCTTCTTAAAACGTTCAAACTTTAGTAATTTATTGTTAGTATAAATGTAACACAGTATATTGTTAGTATAAACACAGTTTATTTTAAAATAATGTTCGGGAGTCGACCTCGACGAGATCGCCCGAATCTTGATAAACGCTCAGAGATAAGCGAGAAGCGGTGTGTAACGCGAATCCGTATATCCGCTGGAGGATAAGGAGAGTTCAGAAAATACTCGATTGCAGATTGTTTTCAATATTCGTTTAATTTTGAATAATAGGAGCGAGCGACGGCACGTATTCCGCGAATCCGACGGAAATCTTCAAAATGTCCTGTTAATGACTTCCTTCGACGCGTTTCGGAAATCTTGCAGAGCTTCTTGCTAGAGACCCTCGCGAGAACGGATATCTTGCACGCGGACGCCGGATGGAATTTAGCGCGAGACAGAGGACATTCGGGATGCGGGTAACGAGCGTCGACTCTCGGACTTCAAACAATTAACAATCACAAACTCAATAAGTATAGAGCAGGTAGTAATACAGACAATGAGGCGTCTTTCGCACTGAGTTCGATGCTCGATCGTATACTAGAATGTCGGTTGAGAATTTACAACGAGAATGACGAAAACGCATACGACACGAGCGAATTAAACAACAGCAGCGCGAATGGTCTATGAGTACCGCAACACGACACGAGCGAGAATACGACACGAGATAATATCATACGAAAAATTATGATACGAGAAATTATGATCGATTGCTATCGACCAGCTCGAATCGTCGTCAACGGCAGACTGAATAACGATGGAAAAGAGTCGCGGTCGACCGATTTCCGTAATAGGACATTTTCGGCACCGAACGTTCGAGAATCTAGGCGTTTGTAACACTTTTTCTTTGTTTTGATCACGCGATCACGCGCCGATCGGCTGATTGCGACGATGTTTATTCTCGCTCGTGTTTTGGTCGAAGGTAGAGACGATACGAAAAAAATTAAGGGTGTTAAGAGTGGCGTCGTCGCGAGAACGATAACGTTCGAAGATTACGCGCGCTGTCTTCGACGAAGAATCGAGATGAGGCACGAACAGTCTTGCATAAGATCCAAGTTACACGAGGTGTATACGGTGTCGGAATCGAAGGTCGCGCTCAGTCCGCACGACGATAAACGATACGTGATATCCGAAACTACGGATACTTTACCGTGGGGGCATTATAGAATACCGCGGGAAGAAGCGAGGAAAACATCGTATATCGAGAATGTAATAAATATTATTTGCGTTTAATATAGTTTATTTTAATAAAATACTCCGAGAGCGTGATAGAAGAGAATAACGAGCGCATGTCTCGCGAAAATCGCGAGAATATTTATAAACGAACGCGAGGATCGAACTCGCGAGATCGCGCGTTTTTTCGCGAGTGCTTTGTAATTTCGCGAGACACGCGTTTGCCATTCTATTTACAATGCTCTCGGAGACGCTTATTAAAACGTTCAAACTTTGGTAATTTATTGTTAGTATAAATATAACACAGTTTATTGTTAGTATAAACACAGTTTATTTTATAAATAATAAAGATTATTTTATAAATAATATAGTATATTTTATAAACAATATAACATATTTTATAAGCAATATTTACTTTAATAAAATATTCCGAGAGAGAAAAATAACAAAGACGGAATACGCGAAGGTACGAAATACTCGCGAAGAGACGCGCGAATTTTTTCAAGTATTTTTACATTATAAAAAATCGTGGTAATTTCCAGGCTGTTCTATTTTTGATAAGTTGTAACGCGGTGACTTTCGCGAGCGCGCGGATATCTCGATCGGGATCAGGGCTCGTGAAAGGTGAGACACACGAAAGCTTAGGATGCAATTTAGCTGATTTATTCCTCTCTTTTGGAGCAGGTCTATGTACAATGGTTTCGGGTGTTAGCGCGCGGCGAATAATGCAACGCGTTCGGTGCAGGCTGCGTGCGTTTATGCGGTGCGCGTTATTCGATATATCGAACCGCTTAAGATTCGGCGACATACGGCGAGGCCGTGTTTATGTTGACGGCGCGGGCCACGCGCAAGAAATCGGGCGTGGTCGATCGGCGCGTGTACGGCAAGGCCATGTTTGTTTTGACGGCTCGCGAAATACGCAAGAAATCGGGCGCGGTCGATCGGTGCGAGTACGGTAAGGCCGTTTTTATTTTGACGGCGCGGATTTATAGCGGGTGATACGGCTGAGTATCTCGGCGCGATTATAATAGTCGGATCCCGGTAAAACCGTGTCGGTGCGTTCGCGGTCCTTAACCGCGTATTCCCAGGTGTGCGGGGGGATGCAAACGGAGATCGAGAATCCTCGATCGGACGGAGAACTCTCCGTCCCTTGCATCCGTACACGGACAGAGGATGGCTATCGGGCGTCGAGAAGTCTCGACGGAGCGGCGAACTCGCCGGCCCACGGTCCTTTTAGCGGTAGCGGTCGGATGTTTAGACCGAATCTCAGATAGCGGCAAACTCTCCGCTATCGTTCGATAAGGTCGGAAGCAGGCTGCGTGCGTTTATGCGGTGCGCGTTATTCGATATATCGAACCGCTTAAGATTCGGCGACATACGGCGAGGCCGTGTTTATGTTGACGGCGCGGGCCACGCGCAAGAAATCGGGCGTGGTCGATCGGCGCGTGTACGGCAAGGCCATGTTTGTTTTGACGGCTCGCGAAATACGCAAGAAATCGGGCGCGGTCGATCGGTGCGAGTACGGTAAGGCCGTTTTTATTTTGACGGCGCGGATTTATAGCGGGTGATACGGCTGAGTATCTCGGCGCGATTATAATAGTCGGATCCCGGTAAAACCGTGTCGGTGCGTTCGCGGTCCTTAACCGCGTATTCCCAGGTGTGCGGGGGGATGCAAACGGAGATCGAGAATCCTCGATCGGACGGAGAACTCTCCGTCCCTTGCATCCGTACACGGACAGAGGATGGCTATCGGGCGTCGAGAAGTCTCGACGGAGCGGCGAACTCGCCGGCCCACGGTCCTTTTAGCGGTAGCGGTCGGATGTTTAGACCGAATCTCAGATAGCGGCAAACTCTCCGCTATCGTTCGATAAGGTCGGAATTAGCTACAATTTTGCAGGCGGCGAGGAAACCGAGAATGCTCGGTAGAGACTGCGTACGCGTCAATCTCTCGTTCCGTCGTTTTCTGCGAGTGTTTCAGGAGCGGTTTCTGGTAGTGTCTCGGAGCGTACTGCTCGAGCGGATTTTAGGAATCGTTCTGGTCATGAGATGCCGAAATGCTGCCTTTTTATACCCGAGCGTCTAGCGGTAATCGCGTCGTTCGCCCCCGGGTGGGGATAACGACGCGTTGTTTTCGGCGGGTAATTATTACGGTAAACGCGTCGCTTCCCCTGGGCGAAACGACGCGGCGTTTCGGCGGGTGACGCTCGGGAATCGTTTGTATGCGAGTTTCTAGGATCGGTTCTGGTATCGGCTCGGAGCGTACTGCTCGAGAGGATTCAGGAATCGTTCTGGTAATGAGATGCCGAAATGCTGCCTTTTTATACCCGAGCGTCTAACGGTAACCGCGTCGTTCGCCCCCGGGTGGGGATAATGACGTGTTGTTTTTCGGCAGGTAATTAACGGTAAACACGTCATCTCCCCTGGGCGAAACAGCGCGGCGTTTTGGCGGGTGTCGCTCGGGCGTTCACGGCAGCGCTCGGCGGTGCTCGGTTTTCCGTATAACGGCGTAACGGCGGCCGTATAACGGCCGTACGGTTGTTTCTCGCAACGGCGGTAATTAGCGTATTAAAAATGGGCGCTCGGCGCCTCTGCCCCTGCCCGGCCGGTGTTCGCCGGGCGGCAGACTTCCGGCGATCTACTGCCGGGTAAGGATGGGGGGTGCATCGTTACAAAGTCTCGAGCCAGTTTTGACAAGTTGCTCTAGCCCGAGATTAGAAAGTTATTCTAGCTTATAACTATGTATCTTCGCTCAAGATTTATTTGCAAATCTCGGGCTAGAGCAGTTTGCCAAATCTACATCGAGACTTATTAGAAATAGAACAGCTTGGAAATTCCCACAATCTCTTTATTATGTTCTCGGAAGCATTATATATCGAACAAAGCGAAAAAAGGTTAACGCGAGATACGATGTTCGCGTAGCGGTGTGATAAAAAATTCATGTAGAGCGTGAGAAAGAGTCCGTATAAAGCGCGAAAGAGAAAACGCAGGACGTGGCGGCCGCGTAGCGGCGCGAGAAAGAATCTGTATGGAACGCGAGAGAGAACCCGTATGGAACGCGAGAAGGACGGACTCGCGTGAGTTTTTTCGAGTATTTTCATATTATAAAAAATCGTGGAAATTGCTGCTCTGTCCAATTTGCGGCAAATCTTGACGCAGATTATGCGAGCTACTCCAGCCAAGATTTGCGAATAAATCTTTAGCGAGAACGGCAAGTTATAGCGCATCGAAACGAAGAGTGTGGGTTTGTTTTGACATACTATAACTTTCCGTCCTCGCTAAAGATTTATTTGCAAATCTTGGCTGGAGTAGCTTACCAAATCTGCGCCAAGATTTGTCGCAAGTAGGACTGAGCGGCAATTTCCACGATCTCATTATTATGTTTTCGAAAGAATTATATATCGAGCAACGTGAAAAAAGGTTAACGCGAGATACGATGTTCGCGTAACGACGCGATGAAGAATTCATATAGAGCGTGAGAAAGAGTCCGTATAAAGCGCGAAAGAGAAAATGCAGGACGTGGCGGCCGCGTAGCGACGCGAGGAAGAATCTGTATGGAGCGCGAGAGAGAATCCGTATGGAACGCCAGAAGGACGGACTCGCGCGAGTTTTTTCGCAATATAAAAAATCGTGGAAAACCTCCATTCTGTCCAATGTGCGGCAAATCTTGACGCAAGTTAGGCAAGCTGCTCCAACCAAGATTTGCGAATAAATCTTAGCTGGAGCAGTTTACCTAATTTACGTCAAGATTTGTTGCAAATAGAACAGAGCGGACATTTTCACGATCTCTTTATTATGTTCTCGGAAGCATTATATATCGAACAATTTTATTTTTCTAACGAATAATTTTATTTAATATATGTAGTTTTAGATAATATATGTAGTTTTATTTAATAAAAATACATTTTTATCATAATACAGCCGTTTTAGTTATCCAAGAATTGTGCGACTCGTCCATTCCCAGCCATTTCACGTAAACCTCGTTGCCCCTTCGACGCAGCACCTTTTCCACGAGATATACGTCGGGATCGTCGACGCGCAGCAACTCGTGCTCGTAGAATTCTCCGGCGATCGGTTCGCCGCGCAAATCCTTCAGCAGATACGTTACGGGTTTAGTCCGTTGTATCTTGGTTATTCGAAAAATCTTGGTGGTCCAGTTAGGTGTGAAGCCTTTCTCGAAGATCGTCTTAAACTTGCTGACGCGTACCGGATCGACTACTTTGAATTTCGCCGGAGCTGCGATTTTTATATTGCTGTATACCGTATTTAAAAGTTTATCGGCGATCGCTGGAGTCACGTCAACGGGTCTCATACCTATAGTGCGATGTTTTCGCGCGTTGTACTCCTCGACAAGTCGAGGTAATTCGTCGATCCACTTGTACGTTCCGCTCAGCGTGAAATACTCCACATAGAATTTTTGAGCGTGCGATTGAATCGTTCGACGATCGACGCCTTCATTA